TTTATCAATAATATCCCAGAGAACATTGTGACGTCTTACATTTTTAAAAGACATCTTACAAAACTATCAGAAAAATACTATTATGACCCGATTTATTTATATGTTGTCTAAGATTGTTCCGGTCTTGACTTAACAGAATTTCTATTGGAAATTGTATCATTGGTTTTGCAGAAGAGTAGAAATTAGGGATTAAATATTCGATTATTTTCTATAACTTTTTGTAATTTTGTTATTGGTTATTAGCGTCAAGTTTGAGCATGTTTGGCAAGAGTTTTGCTTGCAGGAATATGCTTAAAACAATACCGGTTTACACGCATAATTGACGGCGTCAAAGTTTTCCTTTATTCCATCGATGCGCACACGAATACAATCGATAAGAGTTGATTACATCCTTAGGGGAAACTTCCTCAATATACTGATAAGGTATTTGAGAAGAGCTAGTATATTCGCGATCACGATAATATATCTTGCGCAAAATCATTTGCAAAATAATAATTAAATATTTTTGATAGAAAGATCATCGAATTGCAAAAGTTTAATAAAAACATAGTTTGGATGCCAAAATCGGAAACGATATAAATGTTTACACAAAATGATCTTCTCTCGAAAAGCATTAAAGTTAATAATAATGGTTAATGATAATGCTATTTAAATTACGACGTGCCTTCATACAGGTCATACGAATGCTATTAATAATAAATTTGAGGAAGAGATCTAACATACATATTAATTAATGTAAAATTAATTTAGCTATTAACATACCAACATTTGTTCATGATTTAGTGATTTAAAAACGATACATTTATATTCATACACGAATAAATATCTAAATTTAGAAAAGTTGCTTATTTAAAAAATAAGAAAAGTTATGCAATTAATTTTTCTGATTCTATATATACGTGCGTTTACATTTAATGGCAATTTTTAAATCCAAACTATGTAGTAAGTTAAATTGTTAAAAAATCTAACAGTTTAGGTTTAAAAATCTTTAGGTTGTTGATAACATGTAATAGTTATACTTGTTACATTTATTACATTTAATAGTTATGCTGATTGTTTGTGTACAAATGCTCGCGCAAAATTTAACTGCCAGTAATCGTAGAACTTCATCTCGGTGATCTGAAACGGTGCACGCGTGGCAACGCTTTGATATCGGAATCCGTGTATCCGTTCAAATCGTTGTTTGTCCGCTCCGAAGTTTATCGGTTTCTCAGCAATTTCTCAAAGTTGCCGCTGTGTTCCAGGCGCAGCAGCGTGTGCAGGCATCATCTCTGCTCGCCGCCAGCTTCCGCCGCCCCCCCCTCGCCTTCTCTCGATCCCGTCGCAACCCCCGTTCGCTACGCGACCCTGCGGAATTCCTTTGGAAACTTTCCGATATTCATATCTGCCCGCTACTACATCAAAAATTCCAAGCTCGCCCCGCTCAGCTCGCGAGAGTTCTCTCTCAGTTATAAAGGATTCGCAGCCACTTACAATATCAGCCCGCCCTTTCCCTGCCATCTCATCCTCTCTCGGTATCCACCCTCTCCAATTTGCCCCCCTCGTCTCTTCTCTCCATTTCTCTCTCTTTCTCTCTCTTTCATGTCTCCAGCCCGTTCGCCATCATCGACATTCGAAAGACCCTGCCTTCTTCGTCCTTTCTTCAGCATTTGCCTTACTATCAGCACTCGGCCTTCACGGCTACGGTCACCCTTTTCGGCGTTTTCTCGCTGATCTGGATTAACGAGGCAACCCTTTTTCTGCCGACTTTTCGGAGGAGTCCGAACTACGGTCCATTCGGCTCGTTCGTGACTCGACTCGGAACGAGGCCAGTATGTACGTATCCAGAGAGAGAGAGAGGCAGATTCTGCGGCTCACCCTCGTCGGCTGTCTGAGTACTTTCGATTCCTTGGCGGGATCCAATCGGGATCTTGGAAAACAGCTTGGGTTATCACGTCGGATTCATGTCTGATTATGTACGTGAACTAATAGATCACGTAGATCGTACACACTCGTATTAAGTTAGCTTTGAATTAAATGCCACTCTTTTTTTTTTTAGTTACGTACGTTTCGATAAATCAGAATGCGCGCCATTTCTGGGATATTTTGAAAATACTCGGAAAATACTTGCTTACAATTAGTGAGAAGATATTTTCTCACTAACAGTAAGAGCAAAACAGAGAAAGAGAGAGAAAGAAAGAGAAAAAGAGTGATTGGACGTTGTCTTAGCAAGAATTTACAAGATGATTTAATTGGCGAGGTATTTAATATCGAAGCTTAAGAGATTTTATAAACTTAAGCGTCAAAAGCGTAGATTGGTAACAAAAGTTTGCTGTTCAATTAATTTGCAGTGGACCTCGCTTAAACGCAGTAACTTAGCTAGAGACTTGATTATCAAGATATTTAAAGTTGCAAACTAAAAAGCTCCTACAAATTGGACAGTTCTGCGCGAATTTTTGCCGAGAGACGTAAGCTCTTGTATCTCGCACACGCGCACGTATCCCGCTGTAATGAATGCCGAGTAGATTTATCGTTCCCGCGGAGCTCGTCGTCCTTAATTAATGACCGGCCGCGCGGAGCTCGTCGTTTCGTCGTGGATTAATTCGCCTCGAAGTGTCTACTAATTATCAATGGGTTCGCGTTGCGCGCTCGTCACGGCATCGAAATTCCGGCTAGAGGTGCCGCGCCGCAAATCCGCGAGTGCACGCAAGCGCTAAGCGCGCGTATGCACGCGGATTTCTCGCTTCCGCGTATCCTGCGTGTTCGCAGAAGCGAGAAACAGGATTGACAGGAAGGAGGAGAGAGCGATCCGCGAACTCGTTGAGCATGAACGGCCAATCGTTCGCGGCACGGAAACCGGTTGCGGTGTAAACGTCACGTTCCAGAGGGCGTCTACAATAGCTCATTAAATTGAATAATCATCGAGGGCCCGCAGGTACGCTGTACCTGCAATTTACTTGGTCATTGCGCGCTAAGCTCGAAAGCTCGCTCGGATGTAACGAGCGAACGATCTGTTGCCCGCCTCGCATTACACTCGTGCTCTTCATTTTGAACTACATTAACCCGTAGTCCAGAATCGAGACTGATGAGAATATTCGAATTTACTTATTTTTTCCATCGCAGCTACCTACTTACTTCCGATTTCTTGTCAACAGTGTTAGAAATTGATTCGTAATTCTTTTTATAATTATTATTATAGTTGATGCGTAAACTGTTAATATAACGTTTGAACAATGATGCTTTATCTTCAGTAGAGAGAGAAAAAAAGAGTGATTAGATATTGTCTTAGCAGGAATTTACAGAAATTTTAATAAATTAAAAATATTTCGTATTTTATTGCAACTTAGGATAAAAAAATTAATATAATTATGAGATTTAGGATTAAGTGAATTACAATATAAATGCAAATTAAGAAAATTTATGAGGATAAAATATTGCTTGTGTGCATATTCTGATTTATATTTAAATACAGAAGAAGATATTATAAGTGCCAATGAATTAACATATCAACTGTATATAAATTTATATGGAAATGCTACAAATATATATGATATAATTTTATGTTAATTAGTTAAAAATTAATTAAGTGAAGCAAAACATACAATTAACAAACGTGATGAGCATTATTATTTAATGTTATAAATATTGTCATTTTTGTCTCTTATATAAGTATCTTACCATTTATGCGATGAATTTTTAGCGATTCGCTAACGCGCAATCGTCTGCATTAAAATATGCGACACGGAGTCACGTTCCAATTAATTCTCATAATAGTCATTAATTAGTCCCCACAATTACGAGAGTCATATTCGAAATTGTAATCCCGATCGAAATTGAATACGCCGGACGTGCGCGAGTATGCGTGCGCAAGTTGATATTAGCATCTCTGTGATATAAATTGTTTGTACAATTAAAAGTGTTGCTACACCGATGCGTATTATAATCAAAAAGTAGTCATATCTCCTCGTAATCAATAACGTCGTATGTAACATCATAATTTAATTACTACATCACGAGCAAAATGAAATCTTTCACTTTTAATCTTTAATATAAGATATCTAGAGAAATTTGACATTTGTAATCTTTAGATTCGTTATTTCTACACAATGACAGCAGTCTTATTTAATGTTAAACTATTACTTATTTAAATGACGGGTTTATATCTCAAGCGAAAGAGACAACTGCCAGTTGTATACTTACCTCATTTTGGATATTAAGAATTCAATCTATAATACATGCAATTGATGAAGATAATCGTATTAATTATGGTATTAACCCCGAAAAATTATATTATAACTCATTTACGTTATTAGTTGTTGTTAAAATTGTCAAAATCATTTTTCGCTTGGAAAATATATTTATATTTCAAAATAATCCATCTTTTTCCCGACAGTATCGAATGTACTGGCAGAATCGAGAATATACCGCAATGCTATTTTGGCATCTCTAGCAGCTCATTAAATCGAATAATTATCAGCTATAATCGTATTGTACGGCATATACACTTTATATGGCTACCACATCGGCGCTGTGTCCGTACGCGTCCACGTGCTGCGGAATTTTGATCGACTGGTAAATGGTTCCCTTGACGACTACGGATTATTTATTCCCTACACGATTAACGTCATGTAATCAACGATAACGTAATGAACATATTGCCTAGTGCTTGTAATGACATAGTAATGCCGTTGCTTCTCTACCCGCACAGGATATCGATTACTTCTATCAATCTTCTGAACAACAGTCTCGCGCGCGGGACTCCAATATTAATTCCTTTTGTGGTATCGATTATCGATCCATCGTGAATATCATAAAATCAATATAAAGTATAATTAAACAAAATTAAGTTCGTTACCGTATGATTAGCTAACTTGTAAGCTAAGATGTACGCGTAAAAGATGATCAAGTTATTATCCTTTATTATCCTAGGAATTTATATCCTTAATTTCTTCCCAGCAAATTTCAGGCAACCTACTTGTCGATTAAGAGAGGTAAGACATCAAATGATAATGACTACGATGTACATTAATCGTCTCTTTATTCGTCTATATATATATATATATAATATGTATATACCTCTGTTGGCGACAATATTTCGATAAGTCGTGGCTTGGCTTGGTACAAGTTGCGTTTTATACTTGGGGTATTACCGGGGAGGGGGGACAGTAATTAATTACATCGACGCACAGGAATGCATATCATTAATCGTACGTATATCGTGTATTTATATAACATATGCACGCGCGTGAGATTATTGTAGAGTGTGCGATGCGCCGCCGTTGACTAAACATTTTTCATTTCGAGGAGGACGGTAGGGATTGGGGAAGGGCGGTGGGGAAGGGCGGAGGATGGGTCGAAGACGGTAGTATTCACAATAGGGATGTATTCGTGGGAAGGAATAGGTCGCCATTCTGTATATCTATGTATACATAGTGCAAAATATATTAAGGTCAGGCCACTCGTACGAGGACAGCGTTGAAACGTCCCTCTTAAAGGCTAGCCGTCCTTTCCGTATCGCCGATTAATTCTGTCTTTCTCAAAAGAGTCAGCACGATCGAGCTCAAAAGAAAATCGGTAACGCACGAGCTCTCTCTACGCCTCGACTCTAATCGTACTAAAAGCACTTTTTACATTGTTTCAGATACGACAAAGTGGACCGTCTTGGAGCGATATGATGCGTATAGGGACGCTTAAAAGTATCGATAAGTTCGACACATGCAAGGGTATCGATACTGTCTAGCATGCTCAGCTCGACATCCAATACCTTTTACTTTAGCAATTTAAGTAAAGGCGTTGAATATATCGGTACTTCTATGCGCTCCCATATGCGCGAAGCTCGTTGATGAATTCCAGCGATCGGAAATCCACGAGAACGATCAAAGCGCACGGAGATTTTCACCGATATGTAAGTAAAACGTGACGAAATCATGCTTGAATCGTTAAATGATATGTTAACTCGCGACGCGTCGCTCCTTGCGTCGTCTTAACCCTTTAACCGCGCAAACATTTTCAAACATGTCTTGAAAAATTGAACAATTTCTGTCGTATTATATTTCTTTACACATTTTATATGTATGTCACGTATAAAAATGCACGGATCAAAATCTGCCGAGACCTCGTCAAATATAGATGAATTTAATTTGTTTAAGAATTTAACTTATTACATGGGCAATCAGTTAACATTACTATACTATTCTTCTCTTCGATTTTCGAATTTGTCAAATTAAATTGCATTGAAAAATAAAGTTAACATTTAATGAATTTAAAGGTAAAACTGAAATAGTGTTCTTGCAGCATTAATTTTGTTGTTCTCCGTCTGTACATCGTTTTTGTAACTCGTTTTAAATTAATATTGCAAATCATGAAGAACCAAATCGAGATATTTTCGCGTTATCTTTTTTCATCTGTCGAATGATATATTGTACAACGTAGTGTTATACGTATAATCTTTATTATTTCTTGACTATATCTCTTGTCGTTCCGTTATGATAAGGATGATTTACGGGGTGACGAATAGTCGACTCATTTTTAAAAAGCAGCTATAACATTCTTCTAAACGATAATCAACAATGATTGATCAACAGAACTTGTCGACAATTTTGAGTCATAAAAACTCGCATTATCCGCCCTAACGCGCAAAGGCCGATTCGATTATAATTTGATTTTTATTTTTCTTACTTCCGACTTACGCTTTAGATATATTTATATATATATATATTTATTATATAACCCTTGTATATATATAAACACACCTACGATCAACAATTCGATAAATCCTATTCCGTAATTTACACAATCTACACATAGACGTTTTCCCGCTTTCCATTAATAGTAATTAGACATCGCGATGTTTCTCTCACATGGCACATACGCATATACACGCATACGCAGGCACACACGCAAAACAGGCATGTACATTCACTTATTGTGACTATAACGAGAGGCCCAATTACGAATAAATAACGAAACAATCGTGCTGTGCCTTGATGGCGATTGACGCTTTGACCCATTTCCACGTGACATTAAATATGAAATATATTCACGATCAGGATGGTATGACACTGATACCCGGTGTCACGACAGCACTCCTCGACTTGTACCATGACGATCGATAGTATGATAGCTGTACAGAAATTAGCCTCTCAAGCCTTTGACGACAAAACGCTCGGATAGTCACGTGTTCCACGAGCTTATATATTCATGATTAGATTTAACAGAAATACGTGAATTCAAGTGAAATAGCGAAATGTGAATTAGCTAAATTTATAATTGTGATTTTTATGGATGTAATACTAGTGCTTTTTTTTTTAAGAATTATCTGACGATATATTGCATAATTAATCCTGTGTGTTTGAATTTATTAATATATTCATTGACATATGGAACATATAACCACGATTGAAATTTTGTAACAAAGAAGAATATCTATCTATCTATCTATCTATATATATATCCCAAATGTACAATATGATCAGAACAAAGCATATATTATTAGTTCTTATTACAATGACGCAACAAATTCTCCGTGATCATATTTATTACAACTATTGATGATGTAACAACAATACTTGTGATTTAATGTCACGTAAAGAAGGTATCAGAAACGAGCCGTTTTATCTTATCATACAATTATTATACCTCTGTGAAAACGTTTTACATGCTGGCAGACCGTGCGCTATTCTTCGTACTTCACAAGTATAAAATATTTAACCTCCATACGCGTTAATCGTCCATTCCACAACGCGACTGTCGGATAACGTAATTGACAACGCCGTCGACAACGAGCGGTAGCAAAAGTGTTGTCGTTATTAAAGCATCGCATCCTTTTGTCTACCGGCATTATTCATTGTCCTATTAAATGGACGACTTTTATGTGAAAGGACCTGAGTGCCTTTGTCAAAACTGAGAAATAAGATTCTAAAGTTCTCCCTAGAGAATGAAATAGCCTTTTGTGCCGTAATTTACACAATAAAGTTATAGAATCTTAATCTAATACTTAACAAACCAGGGTTACAGGACTTGAGATTTAACTATCAATGGATTAATTAATATCAATTCGAAAGTATATATACATTTATACAAAAAGATGGATAGATCGTTCTTTCGTAGCTTTAGTTGTCTTCATATATAAACATTTCCAAAGTATGAGAACTCCGTAAATGTCGCCAACTCAAAACGAGCAAGATCGACGCCGGTGCCATTTATAGAAAAACCGCTTGAACAACAACATGAATATCTAAGATTAGATTCGGGAGCTTGAGAAAAGCGATATGTGGACCCTTGGAATACCGATATTTATAATGAGCCGTTTTAAATAAAATGGTAAATTTCTTAAAATAAGAAAAGAATAATGAAGGCGAACATTTGGCACGTTTTTCCTAATCGGGACGAGTAATTATCTCTCACTTTCGTTTTCGTCTGCGCGCCTCCGTTGTAACTGGGCCGAAATTACGTATAAAAAATCGTTTACCGAGCCATCGCATTTTCGGCAAACCGCGAATTTCCGGAAAATCTACATGGACGCGTGTGAATCACATAAGTATTATATTATAAATTAGTTCTAACATTAACGTGAGACATATGAAAAGTTTAGCTGGAAAATAAAAGTAAAAGCATGATCTTCAATCTTATATAATGAGAGTAATATAATAATTCCTGGGAAAGTTTTTTTATCAAATAGCTTGCAATTTTTGCAGAAAATGAGATCAGTTTCAACAATATTTGTTTGTAACGTCGGTGTAAGGTGACAGCAATTTTATTTATCACTATTGTTTCGCACTCCCACTTGATATGCGAAGATTCTCGTTCGATTCGATCGAATATTTATAGTCCAAGATTTAATTCCCGACGATCAAGTTCGGCAGTTAGCTTATTTACAAAGCATCGTTTTATATAGAAAATTTTATTTTTCTACTTTTTGCTCGAAGCATATATCGGTATTTCTTCGCCGATTTCTTATGAAATTCTTATCGTGGCATAAGAATGGAAAACCTTCTCTCGCTTGATAGTATATATTCTGGACCGATGCGGATTCACACAAATGCAATATGTTATATTCTCAGGATAGAATAAACCGAGAGTAAAACTACACGAAATATCCGTGTTGCGCGTTGAAGAAATTAAAACGCCGTAGCTGTCTCAGTAATATCTAATGGATGTCGAAAAGACAGGCGTCTCTGTCATACGGATCGATCGATGTTTAATAATGAAATTGCCGTTAAAATTATTTCGATTGCTCGCGCATGAATATGTTAATGAGAAAATTTTCAATTACCGCTCTGTCATACGCGTTAATGTTTTTTCTCCAGAGAAATATCGAACATAGGTGATACAGAGAGATACTGCGCAACGTATAAAGGAAAGCGGACACTCTTTTTTTCACAATTCAGAAATGTCTCTCTGTTTAAAGATTCGATAAGTGTATACGCAATGTGAAATTGTATTTTCCGCGGATACGAGGCGTATCGCGTTACGAACTCACTCGAGTGGAAGGTCCGGCATTTCGCTTCTCGATCCTGCAAAATCAGCGTTGGATCAGACGTCGATACTTACAGTTCGTTCCACTCGATCGCGTCTAATGTGAAATTTGCTCGATGGAAATTCACGTGTTAATTAAACACGCGATTTCTCGAACGCGGCAGTCGTTCTCGGGAGCAGCACTTCCTCCCCGGCGTCGGTGACCATTCGACGTGAACGACATTTATGTAATTGATTTTGTGTGTAACCGTCTCGCCCACGATCTGACGTTTCGGACGCGAATTAAAAAGAACTGGCGATTTAATAATTATGTCATTGGTGGCGTGGAGACACGGTAAACTAACGAGATATCTCGTTAAACCGTAGACGAATCGCGGTAACCGTAGCTCGACAATGACGACGCGAACAAAATTTCACGATCTTCGGTCTGCCGTTAACGTTTCGTCGATATTCGCTAGGCTGTTAATTTTCACGAGCGTTGAGCGGAAGAGCGGCCATGTTGGATCGATGCCGTACGAAATATGGACTGCTTTTATATAAAAGAAATCGCAGTTTTTAAAATGTAAATAATGTCGGTTATTTTATAATAAAAATAATGATTTCTTAAAAATTTCTTTGAAATGTATTTTTAGTGACTAATTTTTTGAGGTGCAAGATTAATTTACTATAATAAGTATTCAAGTTCAATAAATTACTAATTTACTATAATAAGTATTCAAGTTCAATAAATTACATTTGTAATTTTACGAAAAGAAGAATAAATCTGTTTTCTGCTATCTAATTGTAAGTTATTGTCAAAAGTGGAATGGTAGACCTCATAATGTTTCCAAGATATATGGGGATAACTAAAATACACTTTATTATAAATATTTCCTTTAAATATAAAAGTAATCCATATTGCAACGCACTGTCGTACGCTAGCAGTCGGTTTGTTCCGTCTATGTGACACGTGTATCACAACATAATTTAACATTTTGCTCGTTAATTTAGTGCTTTTTGAGCTTGCAAAGTTTCCGTTATTTCTATGTGAATGCGGACATTATTATTAACATTCGTTTTCGCATGTCACATTTGAATGTTACGAAATGCATTTTTTTTTATCATCAAAATGCGAGCTGGCAGTATTTAATTACCGCATATAGCTGACGTTGAGAGACTCCGAATCCGCATATGTAATTTTAATCCGCCATTTGTCACGTATAAATTAAATAATGAAAACATAATTGTGTTTTTATTAGAAAAAAATTGAATTGATAAAAAAATATCACGCCAGAGATTGAAATATTAGTTGAGACGTCAATTTTACCTTCTGATTTTTGCAGAAGAATTTCGTGCAACGGTTTAGAGCAAGCTTCGTTATATTTTCGGACGTATTCGTACCATTAAGTACAGCGCACAATAATCGAATTCCGTATAAAATATTGTGATTAACGTTCCGTCAATATCGTTTCGTGATATCGATATCGAGATTCGGCAATAATGTCGTGGATTTGCCGAGAACGCGAGGCAACGGAGCTACTCAGCCGCTATCTCGCAGTCTCCTTAGGTTAGCGAATCGAGCTCGTGGTAAACGTAGTTTGCGTTTAAGGGTAAATAGGTTACGTCTATCTTACGTCGAAGCGAGCAAGTGGTGCAGCACGATCAGGAGGATGCCGATCGTCGCCGGCGGCGCGTTGTCTCTTGACGTTGTGGACGCCGAATTGTCGTCCGCGTCGAAGGCTGGCTCCAGGGTCGATCCCGTTTCCCTCAGGGATCCTTGATGCACGTGGTTCAATCTGTGATCGCGATCACCGATCGAGTCGCCCGCGTCGTCGTCTGATCGCCGGTCGCCGGCCTTTTTGGGATATTTAGGTAGCTCCATATCTGTAACATAATAAGAAAAAAGAGCTGCATCATTTTTCTGAATAGTGTCGATTATCCTATTACAATAGAATATACTATTCGAGAATTTTCCCAATTATCTAAAAAGTAATTCAGAATTTAAACCCTGTTTGTCATTCTTCCAAAGTTATCCCTCTCATTCTTGTTAAGTTTTGAACAAATTGCCGAACGAGAAGGAGAGGAAGCGAGTAATGAACGCGAGGATTAAACGGTCTTTTTACAAGTTGTCGAGTCGATGTGAAGAACATTAGAGTTGTCGATACTTGTGTTACGCACGTGCAACGAGAGCGCCAAGCTTGCAGTTTCTTCGCTATCGAATTCAAGGCACGATCGTCGAAACATTATTTCAACTGTGGTCAGCCAGTAGTCGGCGCGATCCGGCGTGAGTAGATATCATTTTTTTTCCGCATGTGCAGAACCTCGATGGTGGGTATCGCGTGATGTTTTTACGCTCGACCGTCATTCGACACACGCGAGGCGAATAAAAGTGAAGTGAGAATTCTTTTTTGGAATTTCGCGCGATGCCATTGTGTGCGCGCAATGGAAAACGAATCGACTCGGTTCCTCCTTTTTTTCTTTTATCTCCAGAAATTCTTTTTTCGAAGTGAGATATATATATATATTTTTTTAAAATTTATCACACGAACTTCCTCTTGATATACATCCTTGTCTTTGACATCTCTCGCGTATTTTTCAGCGATGCTTAATATCCGCGGCACGTTCCATTGAAATTCAACGAGCGAATGATGAGCAAGTCGATACGTGATAGTAGGAAACGTGATGTTGCGGGGAAGGGAGAGGGAAGGATATATACAGCGATATGAGACACCATTATCTCTCGCACGTTAGGGGATCAATCGGTATGATTTGCTCGTTTTTAGGAAATAATTGAGCTAATTTTCCCGCGCTATAAGTTCTATGTATACGGCTCTGATAATTCTTGCAATATGTTGAAATTCTATCTACATTAAGCGTTATTGAGAGCTTCGTAATTACTGGCATTTATTAAGTAATTCTTCCTAAATATACCTAAGGTGTTGGGTATATCTGTCGTTTCCAGATTATATTTTCCGTGACATATATAAATTAATAATATATACTTCAGAATCAATGAAAAACCGATAGGTTTATTGGAAGATCGCGATTAATGTTTAATTATAATACAATTGGTGAGATTTGATTAAATGTTAAATGTTGGAGGTGCCCTGTTATCCGAGCGGAATTATATTAACGTAATCGGATTCGCGTAACATTAGAATGTCTAACTCCTATATTGATTATATATAGCTTCGACGAAGCTACTAAATACCAAAATCACAGAGCTAATTGACAAGATCGTGTTTCAATGATATTGAATTAGGTGTGCTCTCTGCTGGCCATTTTGCTACTTACTCATTACGGAGCGCTCAAACCGTGCAGCGAGGCGCAGCTTCCATCCTAATTTTCCTTTTGCTTGGTCAACTCCACTCAGCAATATTGCTAATAAATTTAATCCGGATATGACGTAAATTCTCTGCACAAAAATTTCACCATTGCCTTGCGTGGAAAATTCCACGATTATTATACTCGAATTTAAACGCGCGGAGATCTTTTTTTGTCGCAATAAAGCATGTTTGCAATTAAATCTGCCCTAGATTTTTTGTTTGACAAAAATCGACTATACAGCGAGCAAAATAATTCCTTCGGGAATAAAATTGATCTCGGTAAGTCCGCGACACCCCGTATACAGCTGTGAACGAAGAGACAGGTTGCGGTAGACCGGTGGTTAGAAGAAGTATAAGAAGAAGTAGAAGTGGAAGAGGGTGCGGCAGCCCGTCTAAATAGCAGTTTAGCACTGATAACACTTGGCAGACTTTTATCGATCATGTCTGGCAACAGATGGCTCACCCAATTCCGGACGGCGCGTTTTGTCTGGCCGGCTGATATAAACGATAACTAATACGAGACACGGGAGTACGCGGGGCTAGGATGACGGGAGCAAGAAGAGAGATAACGGCGGGCTGGCGGCCAGGTTAGATATTGTTTCACGGTCTTTTAACCGAAGACGTGATGCCCCGACGATCTTCGCTATTGTTTCGCAGCGCTTTTTTGACGGGGGGCAACTTGTACCGCCTGATTTAGAAGAAGCCTTTATTGGAAACGCAAGCGATACCTAGAAAATGTTGAACAGTTTTCAAAATTACTTATATTAACTTTTAATACTTAAAAAAAAATACTGCTGTTTTTTTTTACGAAAAGATAGTATCTTTCATGTTCTTCCGTAATAAGTTGGAACTATGACCGAAAGTTTTAAGCACTACAATAATATTTCTAATATTTCAAATTATTAGGAGGATCTGTGATACAATTTTTATAACAAAAATAGTATTGATTATTTAATATAATATGGACTCATCCCCTAGATTGTGACACGCTACAGGGTACGGTAAGAGAGTTTCAAATACCGAAGATACTCTTGTATAATGTATCTCGCGGGAGAAATCAAACCCGTAGACTTATATAATTTAAAGCAACGCGATCTTCATCCCGGAGTTACGCCTCGGATATCGAGTCCTCATTTATCAAAGTAAATCCATAATCCCGACCGCGCGCAATCTGTGACAAGAACATCCCCGGAAGAACGGCGGAAAAGAGGACACGAAAAACCGGTACGACGCGGTCAGGCGGGAGGGTGGAAGCTCGGATATTGTTTCGCGGACTTTCGGCTCTCGACATGACGCTTCAACATGCCGCCGCTGTCCTCGTACATTCCATAGCTTATCCGTCCTCGTCCCCGTCCGCACGGCGCGTTTAAATCTGCCGCACCACCCCCTCGCGGCGTAGACAGCGCACGCTCTTTTCACTCTGGCTCTTCGCGCCCCGTTTACACCGGCGGTTTAACGGTTAATCCTTCGAGTTTATCTGATCGCGTGACTTCAACGAGAAGTTGGAACACGCCGGGATAACATCGCGAGCTTCCTTCTCGCGTATACCCGCTCTTTACACGACAGCGCGATAAAATTGCCGTCATTAGGGTTGCACGCGCGCTCGCAAGCTGGCGGGGGTAGTTAACTCGCAGATATCGGGCCCGGTTTTGTCCAGCTTGTTACGCTGTTTTATTCGTGCTACGATAAAGAGATAAAACTGAAGACCGCGGTGGAATTCTTTTTATTGAAAAGTCGCGACAAAGGAGTTTTACACGTACGTTATACCATTACTATTTTATGAGATTCTAGTAGAGTAATTTCACATTTCCCGACTATTTTAATCTCCCTTATGCCTTTGGTCATCTGTGTTGCGGTATTCCGGCGTGCTCACAGGGATGCAGATGCGGATTGCACGGTCGCGTGTGAATTCGTAATTTTATGCACGCTTCTCATCAATAACTCGGCTGGAATTTAGCTCCAATCGCGCGACGTGCAGAATTTTCGCTGCAATAATATGGGAGTGTGAATCTCACGACAATATAATAATAGTGATAATATAATAATTTTTAGGCAAATTATAAAAGTTGCTTTCCATAAAGATGCTAATTTGATAAGAAGAAATACCGATATTATTTATTCTGTCCCATTTCGAATAGGAAACGTACCAAATATTGCAAAATGTTTTAAAAAATATTAAGCAAAAATTACAGGCGCACATTGAATTATTTATTAAAAAAGATCATAAAATAGTGAAGCGTATGAATAACGCATGAATGTGAGCATTACACATCGCGTCCTTTGTGAATAAGCAAAATTAATGCCAAAAACAGACATAATCCTGGATACATGCGTACTAGGCTGTGTTGCAATATTATTATGGTCGCTCGGAATTCGATCAACATATCTATTTCATCGTTTATTTAAAAGTGCTGGATTGAGCATAATAAATCGATTTGTCACATTTATTAAGCATATCATACCAATTTCCTATTGTCATTTATAATCCGCGACGAATGTCAAGAATAGCGCTTGAATCGGACATACGTCGTCAAACGATATATCACAGAAATATCATTTCGCTTAACGTTACTAAAATTGAGCTGTCACTATTCTGAAAAACGTTTTACAAGACTCCGTGAATAGTTTTAGAGGGAAACTTGCGTTGCTTATTACAGGTCAAATAATTTCAGAGATGCATTTGAAACCGCATCTGCTTCAGTATTTCACCATTCAATGATTATATTTTCTGTAATTTAGTCAATCGCGTATAATCACAAATAAAAAATTGTAGAAGATTCCGACGCGAAAAATAGATTTGATTACACTCGCTGTTTCGTGTCAGGAACGCAGGGTAGTTCGCGGCAAAGCTGAATTTTCTCTCGCGCTATAAAGCGGAAAATTATGTGACGCGGAATCCGGTAAATAAACTGTGAAAAAATAAGGACGCGCTTCGAGAAAAGTAAGCGGGAAGTTATGGGCGCATTTACGGCTGATGACACGCCGGCGAGAGGACACACCGCGTCGAGCCACGTCGTCCGCGAAAAATGCGCCTTTTTTCATTCGTTTTTCGACAGTAAAACAGGTGCCTGCATACGTGCTGTAAACGGATCGTAACGTTCAATCAGAGTGGAAAATTATGGGGCACCACTCATGAAGACTTATTGCGGTCATAGCGTTGTCGCGATGTGCAATATGAGATATCGCCGCGCTATCCAAAGCTTTAACTTTAATTACACGTATTTTTTATTCGTTATCAGGTTTAATAAAATTATAAGATTATTTGACTCAAATTTTAAAGAAAAAATGAGAACGATGTTGACGAAGCTATTTGTAAAGAAATTTCAAAAAATCTTACAATTCTACGTAGACGTACAATTTGGAGATTATTTTTTTCTAAGGCAGCACAAATTTTTAATGATTTTAAATCATTACAATTTTTTCTTAATTACTGTTGGTTTTTAGGAAATTTTACGATATCTTGTGATTTGTATTTTGTTACACAGCTACATTATAGGATATGTGCAAAATTATTATTATTATAAAACAGTAGTTTAAAGGCTTTAAGAACGTTAAAAGAGGATACACTGGGAGAAGAGAGGGCGGATTGTAATCATGTTTTAACCGATATCGCAAAGACATTTTGAAGATTACTGACTTAGGTATTTCATGGACGTACGCCGGCGGTCGGTGGTGGTATTTCGCAGACATACAATGGAAGCGAATTCCATAAATATTATACAGAAGAGTACAGTATTATCTGCGTCGTGAAATAACTTACGGTTACGACGGAGACGTGGCTAAGAAACTACGGAAATTCCAATCTGTCTCGCGGCGCACCGGTCTCTCCGATATCTTAAATAGTAAAACTCAAGAGGAAACTTAATTTCGCAAATACCGATATCCCTGTAGTAACAGTCGTGCGGTTTCTTCGAGATAAATTCCTGAGATTACCAAAACGACGAGAGGTCAGCGTCAGAAATATAAGCGCATGTAAAATATTTCTGCTCAGATTTTTACTTTATAGTCTCGGTTTTATCATCGCCTTCCATTCTTTGCTGTCATGTAAAAAAAAATGACAAAAGAAAAAATAAAATCTTGTACTTGCGAGTTGTAAAATTGTATATCTTTTATAAACGAAAAATTTACGCTGCTCGTTGCACTTGGTCGCTCAATGTTCGCGATGGATGAAAACGAGAGCAAGTAGCGCCGGTAGAGAAACAGACATCCGTTCTGTAATTCTACACGTAAAGCTAACCGTCCGCCATTTTTACGGCGATGTATCGTTACGAGGCGACAAGAAAAATACCGTCGTATTGCGTAATACACGAGACGCTCGTTGCCGTCGATCGTTCCTGCGAGATTGCGACGTATTAAATCGTGCATGTAATGGAAACGGCGAAGTCGCATAGTGATACGCCGTACTTTCTCGCTGTCGGAACACGTGCAACTGCGACCGTATCCCGCAATCAAATACATGTCTCTGATATTCAGGGCTGTTTCAATGCTCCCGTAAAAAGACACTTTCGCTTTCGCAAGCTTGCGTTAGTCACGCTTAAATAAAATGGACACGAAAAAAATCCGTTTTAATGTAAATTGTTTTGCAGTGAATAATATATAAGGTATTTTAAAATAGATACATATGAACATATATATTGCGCGTGCAATTTAACCATCGAAAAAAATTAATTTTTGTATATAAATAGAATTTCCGATATTGCAGTATCCTTTTAATATTGCTGGGTTTTAGCTCCTTTCTCAATATTCGAATACTTTAATAAATTCCAGCTTTATCTCAGGATTCAGCATAGTGCGCATGTCTTTTTACCTTCCTGTCTGAGCTGTGTTTGGACCGACTAATTTTTTAAAGAAATATATATAATAAATGCATTAATCCGGGAAAAGAGTTTAGGACGATACGACGTCGTTTGCGTCTGACGAAGTTTTCCGGGACTTTCCGCGCGGAAACTTCACCTCACATAGAAAGACTTTACTACCTGTTTTCGTCCTTGTCGACGTATTAACCGCGGAAACTCACCGTAAAGCCGGATGTTCCCCTCAGCGTCGCCGATGGAGTTTTTCGAGATGCACTTATAACCACCCAGATCGTGCTTCTGCAGGTTCATGATCACCAGTCGCATCTGCACGCTGTACACTGATGTCTTTATTTCGGTCATCAGGTACTTGCTGTTAGATATTATCATTTCGTCTGCAGAAATACATTTTAAAAATTGAATTAATAAGACATACAATACATAAATTTAAGTATCGAAGTATACATTACATAAAGTTAAAGTTTTATATCTTGAAAAATATTTCTATTAATTGAGATTAATTTCTGATAGTTTCTGAAAAATATTTTTCGGCTGTGCAGAATGCTCTCAACTATAAAATACTCTTCAGATTAATTCAAAATCTCTCGACTGATAAGTAATCTATCTTTCAAGTAAATTGAACGACAAGAACTACACTGATCGCACTGTTCTATCTACCCGATTCTCGAGTCCAATAATTAATGGCCTTAGGTGACGCTTCCACATGGCAGACCAACGTGACGTTAGTCCCGATCGGAGCCCCGACCAGCTGGTTCGGTACCTGTACCATCGGGTGAACTGTAAACCATAACGATTTGATCAGTCGCGATCAAGCTAACAACAGCATGACATCGGCGGCACAGCCGCGCGCGCGGTTCCCCGCGAACTAATTTCTCTAATTGAACGTCATCGCCCGTAATGCCACAAAGGACATTTTTCTGATTTGTTTTAAAGCGAAGATGTCGGGATAGGGAAACAACGGTGGTGCATTGCACCACTTGCACAATTCAATCGCCTTACTTCGTAGTTACATTGTGGTCCCTTTGTGCGAGTGCGTCATTAGCGAGCTACGTGAGTACCTCACGCTAATGAAACACGCTGACAGATCATCATTTAGCGAGCAAGCAGAAAGGAAGTATTTTCTATCTCTCCCTTTCTCTCCCTTCTCCCTTCGCCCTCTCCCCTCCCTCTCACTCTCTCTCTGTCTTATGGCAGCGTTGCACTGCCTTTCATTTCGAGTATCGTAAGCAGCTTTTCGTGAGCTGCTTACGTTTTAACAGGCGACCGCGCCGAGCACTTCTTTCAGCCGAAGCTTGGCCGAACGTCGTGTCGTCACAAAGCGCTTACAGTGCGTTTTACAGCGGCTACTTAACCTCACTGACGTGAAATTCTGCTTTCAAAAAAATAGGCTATCCTGTAGCTCATTGAATTCTATGTCTTTTCTCTGACATACTCTATGCAAGAGAAATTTCTCTACATATCATAAATTCATATTTTATGACATAATGTGACACATTGCCATTATTAATAAAGTTCATGTAATTGCTCATTATAACATTATAATCAAACAGAATAAAAAAATATAATTTTTTAAATAATAATAAATGACATATATTAGATTGAAAACTATTGTTTTACTATTGTTTGCACGTTCTGTGTCAACAGCGAATTGTATTATAATTTATGCAAAAAATTAACAAAATGATTTTACATGTATATATTTTATATACATACCAGATATTTAAGAAAATGTTGTTTTAAGTTTTGATATCACCTCAATATCTTTTTATACACTACATTCCTAAGAAATACATATAAGAAATTAAAAATATGCATTTGCATACAAATAAGAAATATAGACTATCTGCATTCATGGCAGGGTCTAAAATTTGCAATTACAATCTCTAACGATTCTGTATCGCTGTCGTTAAAAGATAACGCTTTCTAAGATGGTCCGTACTTTCGTATACTTCCTAAGTAATAAAGATTACGTGGGCGATATCGATGGCCGAAATGCTAGGTGATGATATTATGTATGTAGTAACTGAAAATTAAGATGATGGTGCACGATAAACTGGCCGTTTCCTCGGCGGGTCTTTGGTCGACTCTTTATCTCGAGCGCCGCTTGGGAAATATATGTGCTCGCGCCGCGCTTGTGCACACCGAAGATCCCAAGAACCACCGAGACGACACTTTTATATGAGAAAGGGGAATATACACAGAGTGTTTGGCGGTAGGATAACCATAGGATAACCATAAGTCAGATATATCGACACCCTGGAATAAAAATCAGGTAATTTTGACGTGGCAAGTTTCACGAAAGAGAAAAAAATTCTCTCTCGCACGTTAACTCTTTCCTGCAAGGTGCTATTTTCTCAATAACGTGATTTTAAGTGATTCTTTTTCAAAGATTCTTTTTCACGATGGTGTTAACGCGATCCATATGTATATTGATTGGCTGGGAGTGCGTTCTATCAAAATCCGTAAATTTATTATTATATATAAATTTGTTCAAATTTTGAAATATATATTGAACCGACCTTTATTAATAAATCCCTCAAAGAAGTTGAATTTTGATATTTTAATTATTCGTGTATCAAATTCGTGCGTATTAATTGAAGAACACTTTCGTCAAACGCAAATTCGGATACAATCGCGATAATAATAATTGCGACGCGATTATGAATAATTGGTAATTATGACGCACGTTGTCGATTATGCCGTAAAACGCGAACGAGAGCCAGAAAGTGCGGGACGAATTATCAGAACGAAACACACACGACACAACGAGGCACTTCGGCGCGTGTTAATTCGAATGCGCGTACTCTCGGCAATTCCGGGCGAACAATTATGCGCCGAATTGAATCACGTTTTCGCCCCTAAGCACAACCGCGCGTTGTATCGCGAGAATTGATTTATGAATCCCTTCTGGCCGCAACAGGAGAGAAAGAGAAAGAGGGAAAGAGATAGTTTTAATTGTTCCGGTTTGCCGGACGTGTCTCGCAAATCCGTTGCGTGATTTTCCGATGGATTTACGCGCAAACTTTCGATCCATCCGAAAGCTCACGGCACTGATTTCACACACGCACGGCGCGATAGTGTGATAGTGATGAATATTCGCGCTGGGAATTCTTCGTGTAACGTTTGACTCGGTACGTGACGATGGTGACGCGTTTGCCCAGATAACAAACGGCGCGAGATCGCTCGACATTACTCTTAATTGTGAACGAGCCCGCGGGCCGAACTCGGCGAAACGTAAATACGCTGCGACATTTCAGCGTCGGACGTTTCGCCGCCAAGCAATTGCACGGAATGCAAATCGTCGCCGGGCATTTTGCACACCACCGTTTATTGATAAATTGATCGTTCGAGCGGTGGTAAAATTGTATTCAACCGTTCATTCTTTTCTCATACATAAATATACATTGATACAATTTTCTGTGATACACTGTTTCTTATTCATGAGATATTTTAAATAGCTATATAGATCCTAGAACTATTGCCACAAATTTGCTAATTGATCTTTAATTGAATTTTTCTTTAGTGAATTTTTAGTGAAATTTTAATAAATAATAAAACTTCTTTGACTTTTGACTTTAGAACGCCAACACGGAAAAAAATTTAGCTAAAGGATTTGCTACTATATGGACAACCAACATTTTTTTACTGCGAGAGCTAATTAATTTTGCAATAATAGCAAAACCTTTTGCTGCAATAGCAAAGTTCAGCAAAACTGTTTGCTATTGCAACAAAATGTTTTGCTATTATTGCAAAATTAATTAGCTCTCGCAGCAAAAAACGTTAGTTGTTCCATATTTAACAAATAAATTTGCTGTTGCAGCAAAACCTTTTTTTCCGTTAAATTAAATTCTTGTTGAAAAAAAGGTAAACTTGAAAATTTTCCTTTTTTTCTTCATTTATACTTTTAAAGATGTCCGTTGATATAATAAATTCATCTATCAACAAACTGTTTGCGAAGTATTTTTAGCGAAAAATATTTTCGAGAATATGGGGCATCCTGTATCACGTTTATGCAGAGTAACTGCATAACTGGATATTATACGGTAACGTGTGCAAGTTCACGATGCGGTATCGCCGATAAATATAGCGACGCCAAAATAAGCTTGTCGAACATCAATCAAATAAGTTCGCGGATGCGATATCTACGCTGCAAAATGGACAGCAGCCGATCGATCTGAACCAAAGAACTGAAATAGAAAGCCAACCGCGAAGCACAATCGCGAGCTCGTTAAATAAGTAAGCGTTACAAGCTAATTTCTTTCGCCGCCTCCGCTAATTAAGCGCAGCGAGCGTGCCTCGAGGTCGCTTAATGCGACCTGTGGCGCGAAATTGCATTCGTCGCGTTCATATTCTAATCTAATGTGGTGCAACAATTTAATGTTGTGTAATAATTTAATGCACTAACGCAACGCAGCGCGCAATTCTCAATATCGCGTCAAATGCCCTCTAGATAAATAATTCCCATATCGATTTCTGCAACAATTAAGTTGGACTTGAAAAGCAATATTCATTTTCAGTGCCCGCTTACAAATTTGTAGGATAAAATATGTTATACAGGAATAAAAGAATAGGCATTAAATACGAAAGAAGTTGAATTATCTAGTAATCTCTTAATTTATCATTCACTACACCGTTTTTTCTTTGCAATTCAATATTTTAACGAGTTATAAAAATTACTTCGAAGAGTTTACCTTCAGTACACAAAGAGAAACCGAGCGCTATTTACTTAAACGAACGATTAATTACAGCAAGCAGAAGATATAATTGCGGATAGTAAGTAACAAAATCACCAAAGTTAAATCTCTCGCAATTCGGGCGTTGATTGTAACGCAGCTCAGCACGTGTAATCCCGAGACAGTAATCGTGACGATATTAATTTTCCTTGGTCAATAGCGGTATCATATAAAGTCAACTTACAAATGTTATATGTAGGGAGACCTGTTATTGTGTTTCCAGGTCGAATAGCGACTTAGCCTGCGTTAACAGCTCACACACACATACACACATCGAGGGTGGGAAACCTACGGTCCACGAGAGACCGAAGATTTTCTCTCGTTTAGACGCGCAGAGGACCTAACGTCCGATATTCCTGCGGTAATAAGATAACGCTCGATCCTTTTCTATGAGGCTTGCGCCACGTATACTATTCCGGCGTAATAGTTCTTTGTTAAGAAGCAGTGTTAAGACCGTGTCGAGAATGTTCCGTGTACTTCTCGCATTGCGATGCGGCTAGTCGCGTCGCTTTTCAGAGGTGGTCTCTCCTCCATCTCCCCGTGTACAACCATATTTATCTAACGCGTAATTACGCGTCCGAGTTCCGGAGAAAAGTTGCAAACGAGGGTGGAAGGAAGTCGCGAGAGATGTAACGGAGAAGTTAAAACGTTGGGACTAAGTTAAAACCGGAGCGGACGGCGGGGTGTTTAAAGTTTCTCAGTAAAGTTCAGCTTGTCACATCTTGCGATGATTAGATCAGGGCTCGGTCTCCCTTTTTCGAGTCCTTAACTAAGAAGGAACTTTCATTCTGCCGTCGCGTGGATGCCTATGACGAGCGAACGTGAGTAGCGAGTACAATTTTATTTGGGGGGGGGGAAAGTCTGGAAGTATTGTATCAACTATTTACGATTACCGCAGTCCTTCTTGATGTTAAACTGTAGCTGTAGCAATGAGATTTACGGCTCGTAAAGTGACTTAATATATTTCTACGAACCGTCGATCTTCTCTCTCTCTCTCTCTCTCTCTCTCTCTCTCTCTCTCTCTCTCTCTC